AACATTTGGTAGACTATGTTCTGAACCAAAAACCAAAAATGAAGCATACCAGCCAAAAGCAACACATCCAAACACAAACCCCAAACCAACAAACACAAACTAATGACACACAAACATAAAATCTGAGGGACCATAGTCCGGAACATAGGCCTAATACACACACACACACACACATATATATATATATAATTGTTCCGTGTGTGTTGTTGTTCATTACTCTAAGGGTCAAAAGGCCATTCCTTGAAGCTGCTCGGTTTCTCGCTATATTCACAATATTACATGTTAGTGGCTATGACATACTCAGCAATGCGCAGGGATGGGTGACGGAGCACTTTTTTCCTTGTGCTGACGGCTGCACTGCTCCCCACAGTGTTGCACACTTGCCGGCAAGACGATCTTGGAGCGCTTACGTGTAGGATTATCTGGGAAATATGGTCCTAAAAAGTTATCAGCCCAGTTCATGAACAGAAAAGTGTTCGCTTGAAAGATAGGATCCTACACTCCTCGAGCTCGCTTGTGCGGTCTCTCGCCCTCGGCCCCAGCAGACCCAGAGAGACGTTGCTTTTCAACGTCCGGCAGGGCGTTAAACCAACCCCAAGTCCACGAAGCCACGCATCTGATGGCTTCTTCTTTACTTCGGCGGGCACCCCTCGAGGATGCGGCTTCACCGTCTGGCCTGTAAGACAAGCACTTGGATTTTTTTCCTTCGTGGAGAAATCCTGGCGGCAAGTAGGCTTGCACGAAAGGCGAGCTGAGCACTGGGTGGCCAAAGTAGATGCTGCAATGCGCTGGCATTTCCACATTCGGACGACCGCGAGGCACCGGTGCCGCATGTGGTCCATCCACCCGTGCCTGCACACGGAGAACGGCGTGAAGACAAGTGCGCGTATCAATACCCAAACGTACATGTGCATGTTGTTGCATACGTGTATACTTTGTATCTGTTCCGTACGGAAAATACAGAAACAGTCGCACATACGTCGTATGTTTGTCGCTCTATTTCCCTGTCACTCTCTGCATCCATGTCTCTCTGTCTCTCTCTTTTTTCTCGCTCTATCTGTCTCTCTCTCTCTCTCTCTCTCTCTATATATATATATATATATGTAAAGATAGATCATGCACACGCATGTATACATAAATATATAGATAGATATATGTGTGTGTGTTGCCTATCCTATGTGTGTCGACGTCGGACGTAAGTTTTATGCCCATTCCTATCGTAGCTTTTTGCGGGCTTTGTAAACCAGGTACACAGTAGATCTTACACGCTTTATGACATGGACAAATAAGTGCCTAGCGACAGGAGTACTTCGTAGCGAGTAAACATAAAATCCTGTAGCCGTTTACATATCATGCGCTTTCCAACTGCTTTCCCCAACTAGCTTTCCTTACAACTGCAGGACGTAGCAACAGAGCGGACAGGCATTCTGTCACGGCTTCGGCCGACAGGGGAACATTTACGGATAAGAATCCAAAGCCTAAATCCTAATAAAAACTTTTCGCCGCACAAACCCTGTTGATGAAAACCGTTGTGGAGGAGAAAGCATAACAAGACTGCAAACTTGTTCAAGTCACAGCAGCACCACCAGCATCATCTTCTGCCTCTGGCATGTCGACATCCCGCAAGCCAGGGGCTTCGGCACGCTCTGCCTGGCCAGCATTCCCTGGAATCCCTTCCTCTGCGGCTCCTTGTGCGGCAGCCGGAACCGGCGGCTCGGTTTCTTCCTGCTTTTCGTCCTCCTCCGCTTCCTGCTCATGTAGGTCCTGCATAAGGTCCTCTTCCTCCTCGTCGTCTGTCTGGCCTTCGAGGCGCTCATCCTCTTCAGCATCGGGGGCCTCCTCGCGAGCACGTCTTTAGGATCGCATTCTGAGAACCTTGCGTTTTATGCCTACGTTTACCGGCTATTTTCCGTGCAGGATTTTAGCTCGGTTCGCATCGGATTGCTTTTGCAAACCTAAAGGCTAAATTCCGTGAGCTGAAATTTTTAACGCTTACTTCGTCGACAGGAGGTTCAAACTCAAGAAACTGACAACTAGGAGTAGTGCAAACGGACGAAACCCTCATGAATTCAGTTTCAAAGCTCCTCTTGNNTGCCACTTTCTCGGGGAGTTCTTCCAAGATGCCTGTGATGTAGTCTTGACTTCTGCCCAATTCTTGCAAGAACGCTTCCACTCGTCTGCGATGGGACAGCTTTGAGTGACCCTTCAGCTTCATGGCGGAGCACAGCGAGCACAGCAAGGACGCCTGTACTTCCAAGATCGTATGGTCTGCCACGAACTCGGGCAACGACATGAACGGTGTTGACTGTTTCCAAGCCAGTTTCCCATGCTTGTCCAGGGTCACAGCAGCGAGAGCTACTTCTGCTTTGTCGACAGGGCCCACTTCCACGAGCTCGCGCGGCACCTTGTATTCCGAGATGGAAAAGCATTCGGAGTCCTCATCCCGAACAGCTTTCAACGGCAGAAGCAGGACTCCATGGGGTCCCGAGGACAGCACCAGCTGTCTCACATCTTCGGATCTGCTTGCGGTCCACTGAAGAAAGCTGCCTCGAGGAACCAGGCGGCAGCTCCACATCAGCTTGAAACCTTGCACGACGTGTTCGTGTCGTTCATCGTCATCTCCGGTGCAGTTTTCCCAGCGTCTCTGAAGCAGCTTCAGCAGCCGCAGTCGTTGGTGAAACACGTGTGGCTTTGTCAGAGCCCGGTTGCTCTTATGTCGCGTGAGCCCTTCTGCGCTGACGCCCAATTCTGCATCTGTGCACTTGAGGGCATTGTGCACTCGACATTTGATGCCCTTGCCTCGCAGTGGCTTCTGCCAGTCGGCGGTTGTCAGCTCCAGCGTCTCGCACCCACTGGGTCGCTTCGTGCAGCTCTTGACTCCAATGGCGTGAAGGTTGATGATATCCGATGTCTCGGACTTTTGCCCACGGCGTGCACAGTCACGCACGTCGTTAAACGCCAATTCTGAAGGTAATGACGATAACAGTGCATCTGAGTTTGCACCAGTGCAGCCGCAGAAGGCTGCCACAGTCTCACGAAAGCCAGCGCTTTGCTGCTCGCTCATTCGGGAGGCATCAAAGTCGAAGGACCTTAGGTTATCAATCACGGTTGCTTTTATTCTATGCAAAGCATAAAATAACGTTTCGACTACTGTTTTCGAGATATGTTCCTGGACGTGGGCTACTTGCTATCCCGTATGTCTACATGACTCGACACACACTGTTCTGGAACACTCCTGGCTTGGGGGCGCATGAAGAATTCCCGATTATAGCAGAGTGGAGAGGCTCTGCTTTGATCATCAGGTCCCTGTACGGCTGGTACCGTGTGACGCCCAGTTGGGTGTGCAGCTGACTCCCAGGTTGCAAGGTGTCAATGAAGCGATTGCAGAAACTCCACTCCTGTCGCATTGCCGACAGAGTCTCTGCGCGTGCACCGGCACTCATTGCCGCGCAGCTTCTCCACGGAAAATGAGCCGCCTGTTCATCAAGCTCACAGAGGGCCGCAAGTTGAGACAACATCAGGGCCGCGTGCCACTCAAGCGCATCTTGATCGTCCAGTGCCCCCACATATCTCAAGCTCTCGTGAGACAGACAGTCTGTCAGCGTCTTCCTGGATTGTGGCCAGGGCTTTAGTAAAAGAACGATGCTATGGGAGAATGCCCAAGATGCCGGTCATCAGAGCTACCAGGAACCTACTCACGGATGTAAGCTTCCGGCCTGATCAGCTTCTCCACTCGTTTGCCGGTGGCCAGTGCGATCATGGTCTGCAGGGATGCGGTGCTGCAGGTTTGGAAGGAGTGTGCCTTCAGCTGCTGCAATATTTCGATCGACACGGGGTCGATAGGGGCAGGGCGGGTAGGGAAAACATGCAATGAAAAAATAGATTTAGGTAGTGTTTGGGCCATTGGTTCAAGCGGCACAAGCCGCTATGTAGAGCCTCTCCGCACGGAAGACCACCAAGAGACTGCGAAGCTTGTCTTGGTTCGTGTCGTCAGCAAGAAACTGGGCGGCAAAAAGCAAAGTAAGTCACACTACAGACTCCAAGCACGTAGCTCTTTGATGACAATAAATAGTCATGAATAGTCCTTGGAGTCCTATTGGGTTCTCTCCTAACGGCACCGCGAGAGCTTTCAACATCCTACTCCGCACATGTTTCGGACCAGAAGACCGTACCAGCAGAAGCATTAAGATTCGGCAGGCTCAGTGCCAATCGGCGCTTAGTGAGGACCATGTGAACTGCACTCAAAGCTTTTCGGGGACTTGTGCAAACGAAGGACATGCCAGCAGAAGGACCGCATGCTGTGGGAGTCTTCGGAAGCATCTCCTGCGTTCCCGAGCGACCACGGGTTGCGGCCTTCCAGCCAGAAGCTGAAGGCATGGCACACTGCCAGGCTGTGCCACTGTCGGTCCCAGGCCATCCCGTTGTCCCAGAAAGAGAACCATCTCGAGTCTTTGACTGCAGACCCTGTCACGTGCAGGCGGCCTCACAGAATCGGGGACAAAAGTTTGGACCGAGGGAAACCTCTGACTCATGCACAGGTTGCCTGCCTTCTTCGGCCTTGAGCAGCGAATACGCCACTGCATGATCAAAGTTCTCAGCAGGGAAGTCTGAGGAGCGCAATGGACTTTCGCAGTCTCGAGCCATGCCTGTCAACCAGGGCGTCACCATGTCATGATCCTTCCCTGTCCTCAGTACACGCAGTATGTGGCTCCGCGCATCGGAGATCAACTGCCCGAATTTGCTGGACTTGAAGGGTCCGCGAGTGAACCGACTGAGTTTCATGACGCTCTTCACGAAAGGCTCACAGCCTGCCAAGCGAATGGCCAAAGCAGTTTTGCGAGCAGCCTTGTGGAAGGGGTCGCTCCACCAGGAGACCCATGTGTTCTGCGATGCCAGGTGCTGGTAGGCCAACCATCCCTGGCAGCTGGATAAACGGAGAGAAACATGACCTTTGCAACCCTCTCAAGAAAGGTAGAATGTTTTCCCGGCCTCAGTTCCCTCGTCTGCTGCGAAACATAAGTGGTAAAAGTCGTCGTTGTCAAGGAAGTCTTTGCGCGGGACGTGGCTGTCGAAGTCGTACACGAAGAATCTGCATTTGTCGTCCTCCGGCAAGCCCATCGCTTCCGCCTCCTGTGGCATCAATCGGAAGCGCTGGCCATGTGGACCGCACGGCAGCAGCTCGTGCGAAGGTTTGGCCTGCAGGAGTGTGAAGCCAGTCGGCAGGGCTTGCTGCAAAGAATTCGCTACAGCGCAAAGCATCTGCTTTGTCTTCGTTCTGAACTGCTTGAAGGCGAAGGAGCCCTTGTGGATCTCAACACGTGCGCGACCAGTTTCAGGGAGCTCATGTTGCAAGGCTTCGCCGAAGGACTTGGCCGCATCAGCAGCCTCACTTGCCGAGGCAGTGCTTGCAGAGAGCATTTGCATGCTGCCAGCAAACTGGCGTCCGTCCATACGGAAAACGAGGGAAAGGACCTCAGTTCACGTACTTGGCTATTGTGCCAGGGTCGACAAAAGGTCTCGCGGCTGAAATCTGAAAATGAGACGACATGGACCATGACTCCGGGTAGATCACGTCTAGCTGAGCGAGGACGTTGCGGCAAAGACTGGGCCTATTACATAGTTAGATGATACAGGAGCAAGCCGGCAAGCCCCCTTCAAGCCTGCGCAATAGGTCCGGTACAAAGCCAGTGTGTTTTCCAGCGTGTGATGACATGTGTTCTACAGACGAAGCAGAAGAGGGACGTCCTCGTGGCAAACTCTCGCAGTATCGAAGCAAATGTTCACAGTCTTCAGACTTTGTCTCTCAATGACGCTGCTGACGTACTCGGCGGTCCGAAGGAGATTTCTGGCCACGAACTCCGTGCTGGTCTTGTTGGCAAAGGCGGTGCGATGCTTAACCAGGCCCAGGTCGGACAGCATCGTCTCTTGCTTCGCCGACACGAAGCCTCCCCCCCGTGTCATGAATTTCTGTATCAAGCTCATTTCCAAGCACTTGTTGCCTCTCATGCGGGACGTTTTCATATACGGGTGATATTTTGCCGCTATGTCCGGCAGCGGACACTCGGATGTGATCTTGGATCCCAGCATACGTGAGGCATGCTGGCAGAACAAGTGTAGCGATCTCTTGCAGAGTCGTCGAAATGGAAGGCTCTGCCAGCACACGGAGTCGCTGCGAAGTCGCAGTAGAGCTATGAGGATGGCGCTGAAGGGCATGGAACGATCCACTGACTTTGGTAGTTTGCGAGCAAACCTGGGACATGGGTCAGTAGCTATTAGTGCGTGATTAATTGAGGGACAATCAGACTCAGTGACTAGAAGGAAGATCAACATGTGCAACACAATCCGAATACCCGGCAGACACAAGTAAAGCAACCTGCACCAGGGCAGTTCGATCTCTCTCAAAATCTTCTTGAGGTCGCTCGTCAAAGCCATGCCGTTCTCCAGCTTCAGGCTGAAAACCGGCTCGTGAGGCAAGAGCTGCAGACTGACGTTGAGTTGCATGTGTGCTTCAAGGGACTGCAGCACTCGCCAGCAGGATTGCACTGCGTCACCCGTTAGGGTGGCAGTGGGAAGCACACACGCCAACACAAGGACAGCTCCGAGCACTGTTGTCCCATCCACGGGCAGCGACACAGCCGACTGCACATGCCCCTTGTATGTGGGACGTCGCAGGACCTGCAAGATGCAGGCAGCGAACAGACCATAAATAAGATCCGGTGTGTCACTCACGGCAGCAGATGTCTGAGGCGAGCGCGTGCCCTTCACCCACTTCGAGTTGTTGACACAAGGGAAGAAACACGGACGTGAAGTTCTTTGTGTACCATTGGCTGAAGGGTGTTCGAAGAGGCCACCACTCAGCAACAGCCAGGTAGTGCTGGTAACCCTCGCAGCGGTTCTGTTCGGGCACCTGGGAGAGCAGCGCAAGGTGGCAATTCTGCGAAGATGCGCAAGAGCACCAACTATATATCAGTCCTACCAGGGCTAGAATGCAGCAAAGGCACCACTAAGACTGTGTACACGCCGTCTGCAGTTTTCAAGAAAGCAAACTCATGCAAAAGGCATGTCGGCTTCTGATTCTGCGCATCGAGAACTTCGGCATCCTCTGCAGTCAGACAGGGCGCATCTGCCTCTTCTGCTTGTACCAAATTCGACGTCGGTGGGGACGGCGCAAAGGGAATCTCCGGACCATGGATGTCCCTCAAGGAGTCCAGGCTTGCTTGGAAATCCTTGCTTTTTTCTTTGAACTCGAGCTGGTTGGGGAAGGAATCGCGCAGAAGCACCCATCGCTCAGCCACGCAATCCCTGACCTGGCGCACAGCCTGGTCCTGGTCGGGGCCTGCCTTGGTGGGGACATTGAGGAGCAAAGTCTGTACACGCTTCTCCCAGTCCTGCAGGGGGCAGTGCTGCAGGTTTGAGCCTGAACTTTAAAGCAGAGAAAGTGCACGTGGGGAGATCTGAAGGGAACCTAGGAGAGTGGAGGACTGCAGGAGACTGCAGGAGTCCAAGGTCAGGACAAGCAGGTGGCTACGACTTCCTGGGCTGTCAGTAGTCCTCCAAAGTTTCCATGGGCTCAGCTGCAGAGGCCATGGCACGTGTCTGCGCGCTGGGACGGCAGGACTAGGCAGGGGCAAAACTCCACCGTTCGTAGGCCAAAGAACGTTTCCAGATACGTATGTGCAAGTGTGCTATTATTGTTGTTAAAACCCTCAAACCACCATTCTTTACGTCATTGTTCTTTAGCACACGTTTCTATGAAAACCGAAAAAACACGCAGGACGCCACTAGCTTGATTTTCCTTGAGAACGCATGTGATTCGTGAGAACGCTGTTGACCGGAGAGAACGATGGTGACATCAGTATGTGGGAGAGAACGATGTTAGCGCAAGTATGTTGGAGAGAACGATAAAGCCTGCGTCAGGGTGAGCCCCTGGCCGATGCACCCTCGGCTGCGGCGTGTCATTGTGAGCTCCTACTGCCTATGTCCTTTTTGAGCCAGCGCCTTGGGTATAATGCGACAGCAGCATGAGGCCAAGCAGCAAACGCCAAGCCGAGCACTGGACACCAAGGTTAGAGCTCAACTTTGTTCATCTGGGGCTACGTCCGGAGAGACAGTCTAGACACGGGCCTCTGTACTGCCCAAGCAGGTCTGTGACCGGGCACCTTGTTGCAAATGCGCATGTTGCACGCGCATTTGCTGTTCAGGCAAGCCACTATTTCTTTCGATGGCGATAACAACTGTGATGCTTGTGGTCCGGGCAGTCCCTGGTGCACGCTTCATCACAGAATCGGCATGCGTACGGGCAGCGAAAGGGTTGCAGCAAAGGTCTTTGCGTCCACGATGCAGGCCTGCTTGCTGCTGCTACGGGCGGTGAGTCCTGGTTTGAGCTAAGAGATCTTCGCCGGCGGAGCTCATCTAAAACACGCTGCATGAGGACTAG